AAGACATTTCATCATAGATTTATATATCACATTATACACACCTATGGGCCGAAAATTTTGTATGTTCTCTGGATTCTCTTTCTTCGGGATGAGCACCATGCGTTTCATTAACATCTACTATCAGCTCTGGTTTCTTGAAGATCTCAATCACAAACCAAAAAGCTTTATTGCAACTATGTACCAACACTGGTGGTAGAACATCAACGGGAAACCATCCTTTCCCATGGCCTTAAATCCCCCCATGATCTTGATTGCCCTCCAAACTTCATCATGACTGATTTCCCTTGTCAAACATTCCTCCGCCAAACGAGTTGTTATGGGACAATCCAAGTACCACATCGGTTGTACAAGGGAAGAAACCCTTGTATATTAGTGTCCATCTAGCTCAATTAGTACGAGGCCTTTTGGGGAGGACACCCAAGAGTAAAACCGTGCGGGCTTGGCCCAAAGCGGGCAATATCGTACTAATTGAGCTCTCCGGTAATTGAGCTCTGATACCACTTTTACTAATTGGGCTAGATAGACACTAATATGCATGGGTTCCTTCCCTTTTACAACCGATGTGGTACTTGGATTGTCCCATAACACGAGCCAACCGAGGGAAACATGCCGGCAGATCGGGTGCCGGACCTGGCTTATGGACTATGGGAGTTTGGTAAGCCACTGTTGATTTCATAGTGCTCTATCCAGCTGTGGAGAGAGAAAACCCCTCTGCCATGTGAAGTGTAGACTAGATAAATTTATCTCCACAAGAACACTCTCGTCAATGCACTTCATGAACAGTCTTGCACAAGCAGCTTGATATAGCGTACCACCTCAATATCGAATTGAAGTTGCCAATCAACACCCAGGAAATTGAGATTGGTTTAGAGATGCATCAAATATCATCCCATAGATGTTGAGGCAAGGCAGCATTAGGGCTTCCATAAACTACAGAGACCTCCACTGTACCTCCATTGCCACTCAGTTTGGTGCAAAGAACATGGATAATTTGCTCCCAGTTAGAAATGACGGTCACGAAAAGCTGCTAACAATTCCAATTGACCCATATTCCATCTGAGAAACCAATAGCATCCATAACGAGAGATCCATCAAAACATGTGCCACGGAAGACTCTCCCACCAGTATCTCCACTAATCTGTGGTTCAACAATAATAACCATATCCAATCGCGAAGGACCCAAGAAATTTCTCAAAAGAACTAAAAACTATCGCTACCTGCCGTCTGGAAATTCCAAGCTAATATATTTAACATAATAAAGATTAAAAGTACACAATAAGAGGGAACTCCCCTGCAGGCCGAGGCTTGGTTACTGCAAAGATCTGCTTGAAGGAGGCTTCCCTCCTTCCTTTGAACTCATTGGAGCTTTCTTATTCTTATTATTGCTCTGATTGGCACTTCCACTCGGTTGACAGTTTTCAATTGAGACGTAGTGGTGGTTTTCATTGTGGAACCCAGCTTGACTGCATCTTGCCCGAGTTTGTAGCTCCCTTAACTACATGGTCTTCCGGGGGTACGAGCCACACCCTCTGTTTGACGAATCGTGATGTCCACAAGCTCTTTCCCATGGTTCTCCTTGGGTGGAGCTTGGGTCACACGCATTTCACTTATTAGCTGGACAAAAGAAGAAGGGCATGTGCATTCTCCTCCCTTAGTTTGCATGCTAGATCCGGGGTCGTGACTCCTCTTGGAGTAGGGGCTTCATTAGTTGAGGTGGGCTTGGTTTCCATCTCTATTGTCTCTTCCTCATCTAATGCCGTGAAACGAGAACCTGTAGCACACGCTGAATCTTCTGGAGGAAGGTTCACGCCAACAGTGGTTTATGTGGTTTAGGGCTTTGCCTAGGGGTTATTCTGTTTGTTATGGGACCTCAACTTAGCCATCACCTACTCACCATATATACTTTTCTTCTCTGCCTTTTCTTTCATCGATGGTGACTCATTAGCCGAAGGAGTTGTCTCCAGTTTGAAGAGGGTTGGGCAAGTCAGCTTCACATAACCATAACGCCCACATTCTGTGCAAATGTGGTGTAAGCCCTCAAACTCCATATAGTACGTGATCCCTTCAATTTTGTACTGAGAGAGTAATGGTTTTGTCAAGTCTACCTCAACACAAACTCGGGCAAAGCGCCCCTGGTCACATGTTTGAGTGGCTCTATCGACATGGAATGGCCGACCAATACGAGTAGCAATTCTTTTAACATCCTCTTTGTTGATAAATTCCCTGGAAGCCCTTCAGGCTCTCCCAAACCATAGTTGAAGCTACCTCAACTAGCTTTGGGTTGAAATTCTTTCACCATGCTCTCACGGTGAGGTGATACTCTCCAATTATCCACGGGCCTCCTATAGTTGTTTGTTCATAGTCAAACTGGCTCATAAAGTGAAAAGTATAGAAACCATATGAGAGGCTCGAAATTTAGAGCATACCACACTTCGCCCATAGCAATTCGAGTCTCCGAGAAAGGATGGGGAATGGGAACGTTCGTCCGAGAACTTTAACGATAAGAGTTGAACGCCACTCCCCGTCTCCATCTTTGTTTTCTATGGCTAAATGGGATTGTCGGACAACATGGATCATCATCCTCCGTAATCTCGTCATTTAGGTTGTCTTCTTGCATGGCGGTTGCCACATCCTTGGAGTATGACTTTGCAACATAACACTCGTCCTCGGCTAGGAGATCGCTAAACAGCTACTACGCCCCCACCCCAGGGAGAACTTTCTTCCCCATCTCTCAGTGATGTATTCACCACAACCTTTATATTCATCGTGTTATCATTCATCGGTTCCGTCCGAATTAGAGGGTTTTTGCACATAGGTTTCGCCCGCTTCTTGGGATGTTGAGTCTCCATGTTGTCCTTTGCATTAGGAGAGGACATCGTAGAGGGAGGCTGACAAACGCACGTGCTGAAATCCTGCTGCTCGATACCCAAGGGACTCACCCCAGGCTCAGGCTCGATCATTTGCGGCTAGAGGGAAAATCGCCAGGTAAGCGTAGCTCCGAGAAAATAAGAGCTAAGGTTTCCTCCGAAGAAAAACAATTTAATGTCAAATGTTATGTGACCTTAACATTTTATTCACCTATACTTTCTACTTTTTTTGTGTGTGGAGAAGATTGGTGCAAGGTGACATTCAAATGAACTACACTAATCATTTAGTTGTTTTATCACAACATCATTAAAGTATGACCTATCTGTAATATTCCAAGTATCGAGAGAGTTAAACAAGTTCTCCTCCACCATGCCAAGGATATGTAAGAAGCTTTCGGATCTCTACTAGTGATGTCTAGTGCATATGTGACAGGCATACATAATGTTAGTGAGGTATATTTCGAGAAATCTACTGGCTTCGCGTCTACAATGCGCCATTGCATCTACTCCCTTTGTTGAAGAGTATAAGACAAGGCTATATCAATGTATGGTAGGATAATAATGATTCAGATATTGATTTTTGTTGAGTCACTTGACACACTGAAGGACTTAATCATTCTCTTGGAGTTGCTTAACTCATAGATCCATTAAATAACACCTCAAGAATTCCAGGCAGAAAAATGCAAGATGTTCAACTACATTCACTCATTCCAAAATGTTTTCCTCAGTATGACAAACATTGATACACAAATTTGCTTGCTACAAGACTAAACTACATCTTCAAAACGGTCCAATATTATGGCTCATTCGCAATGCTTTCAACCCTCTTACCTATTAACGGGCATAGAAAACTTAAAATCCAAAAAGAAAACATGTACATTTTACTTTGCTTTCAAGAAGGAAATTGCTCATCATTTTAAAGAAGCTAACAAATACTCAAATAGTATGCCTACGATGAAATGCAACTTATTTCTGCTACGAAGGGAGACTCAAATGCCTCGACTCTAGGCGTGGTGTTTATGACCATTCAACGTGATTGAAAGAGCGATTCTTTCATTCATGTTAACATAAAATGAAATGTTAGCCTTAAACAGGTTCTGTAAACAAAAAGGAGACAATTGTTAAGACTTAAAAAAAGGATCGCAGTTTCAGTTGAGTCTTAACTTGCACATGGTGGTGATGCAATATCTTGTTCTTTGGTGAATCAAACTCTAATAATGCCATGAGAGCTACAACCTCCTATTACCCTTAAGATTTCAACCCTCAATTAACTAAATGCAATGCATCTGAGTGTTCTAAATTAAGAATAACCCATCAAAATTTTTCGTTAGCAACCTCCCAAGAAAATTGAAATCTCCACTAATTGGACGTCAGAAAAGGACAATTTGAATGGAACCAAACAAATAATTAAAGAAAATAATAATAATAATAATAATAGAAGAAGAACATTTGGGACAAAAAAGGTAATGTCATATTAGGAGAATCATTAAAAACTTTGATGGTCACAATCCAAAGTTCATTCCCAAACAATTAATTTTATTTAAAGAACTCTTTCTACTCTATTCCTAACTAAAATAAAAATCCCAATTTCCATATTCGACCCCAACAAATCAAGTTATTCCCTTATACGAGACGGCAGAAAGAAAGAGAAGAGGAAGGCCTCGAAGCTTCAATCGAAACAACCCAAAGGGGAATTCAAACAATCCCATTCCAATTGGAAACCGCACAATCTCTCTTACAGTCCGGAATCAAATCCCCTTCCCATTCAATCTCAGTATCCTAGTAAAGTACCCAACTTTGTTTATTTTAATTGGCTACTAAAACGTTATTTGCACAGCCAGAGCAATCAGTCAAGAACCGGGATTCAACAGAAAGCGACCGCCTTTCGGCTCCATTCCAGCGTATATAGCCGTGATCCCAACTGGGTCCAGTTTGCTTTCGTCGAATTCGTTCGTTTTTCTAGAGAGAGATTGAATGGGGAGGTTTTGGGTTTGGCCACGGAGGAGAAGGTAGATAGAAATAGAGACATAGGCAGGGGAGACAATAATGGAAGACGAAGTGCCTGGATCAATGGGAACAAGCGCTAGCTTGGCACTGAGATTGGGGTAGGCCTTCTTCTCGACTGCTTCGCTTATGTTCATGTGCCTGCACATCGATTTCTATAACTACACTGCTTTCAGGTATCCCTCATGTCTTTCAATTCCCCCCTCCCAATTTTGGGTTTTGTTGTCTTTAATTCATTTCTTTTTGGGGTAGTTTGAGGAGTTCCATGATCATTCCTTGTTGTCATAACTCAAAATTCTCTGTTGGGGGTTTTGGTGAAAGCTGCCAAACTTTTCTGATTTTTCAGTTTTCCCCCCCATCTTTCTGAGACCCTCTTCTCTATGCCACTCCATGTCATCATTCATCACTGAATTCTTCATTCTACCCTGATTAGGGATGGCAACAAAACCCGAACCCACGGGTACCCTACTCGACCTAACCCGGCCAACGCTGGTAAAACCCGTGTTGACGGGTTTTGGGTCGGGTTCGAGTTTAAACCCATTCACTATTCACTGGGTTGGGTTTAGTTAAACCCGCCCCATGGGTACCCGCCCACACCCATATAATTAATTTTTTTGGTATATTTAATATTCTAAACAACTTATCATCGTTATGTTTGTGGAGACATGTCTAATTTTTTCTTTATAATTGTGTATAATGAAGTTGATATTATCGAGTGGAGAGTGAAGAAGCTTAATTGACAAGGAGAAAGAAGCTTTCAATTAATCATGTTGTTTATGGATAATTTGTGATTTGCTTCAATTTTCTTGAATTTCTAGATTGGTGTTGAATAATTTGTATAACTAATTTTTTTATTTGCTTGAATTTACTAGAATGGTGTTTTATATATGGATAACTTGTATTGAGAGATTGATATTTTCCTTTAATTTTGATAGGAACTTGTTATTGTAAATTTTTTAAGACAAAAACCCGTGGGTACCCATGAACCCGCGGATACCCAACGAGTTGGGTTGGTTTGAATTTTTCAAACCCAATGATTTTTACACCGGATTTTTTCACAGATAAAACCATGGATTTGGGTTTGCGTTTGACCCAACCCGACCCATTGCCATCCCTAACCCTGATCATGGCTGTAAGAAATCGTTAGGTAGGAGGAATTGTTGCTGATGAGTTGGGATGGTTTGGATGATGGATTTCCGAAATGAACCAATTTGACTCAATTGTCCCACAAAAAATCACCGTTTTACTTTCACAAGTACATGCCCCTTTTCCGTCTAGTCAAAATGATGCAAAACGGTGCAATTCAAATTGCCTTATCCCAATTTTTGCATCCTCATTTTGTGTTGTCAAACAAGCTTATTTAACCAAACTGCTTTATTTTGAAGCAATTGGGCCAAATTACCTCAATCCAATTCCATCATCCAACCCATTGGAAATTAGGGATGTTCAAACGGTTTGGTTACCGTGGTAACCGTTTTAACCGGTACTATTTGGATAATTTGGTTTGGTTAATTTGGATAATTGGTTTGGTTTGGTTAAAGTTTTTAGCTTGTTTGGTTTAGGTGGTTTGGTTTGATTTCAGACACTCCTAAACAGTCAAACAAAATTAACCAGTTAAGTAATTAGTCATATATCTAACATATATTATATACACATACTTAATACTTTGCATAACCACTCAAGAGTTAACGTTCATCCCTTTTAGACTCATAAAATATAAAGCTCAATATTGCTCATATAGTGTATATTTGTATATCTAAAGTGTAGACCACAACATATGGACGCCTAATTTAGATAAATTTCATACATTATGATGGATGAAAACTTGAAAGGAAGGTCATTTCCAGCCTATGATAATTGCTAAGAGACTAAGTCAATTTACACAAACACAACAATTCATTAACCCATACCATTGTCATAAATTTTTGTTAGGTGAATACTTCTATACTAATCGTTAGATAATTGTCTTAGTTGCATGTATTTTTGTTAAGGGTCAACTATAACTAAGTGTTGATTGTTATGTTTTATTTATTATATAAATTGCGAATTGTTGCATTAACCGGAAAATTTTCATCGTCAATGATAATGTGATTTTATATTGGTTAATTTGGTTAACCAATTAACCAAACCGATTAAACTTTACTTTGGTTAATTTGGTTGTTGTATTAGTTTGGACGGTTTGGTTATGATATTGTATTCCATGGTTAATGGAATTTAGCTTATTTTGTTTGGTTATAACCATGGTAACTATTTGAACACCCCTATTACATGTTTTTTTTTTTGTTTTTTAATATGTGTCTCCCTTCTCATATCGATACGAAATTCATGTATTCATCGACTACGAAATTGGTTGTTTCATGCTGCTCCTTATAACATTTAGGCGTAATTTTCTATCAAACAGCAATTATTTAAAATGCACTTCATTCTAAAACCAATACTGAATTGTTGATCTTTCAAATCAAGCACTCTAATCTACACTCTTAACGATCTTAATCTCACCACATGAATTTTGAAATCCATGTATTCTACCATCTCTATAGCAACAAACGTCCCATGATTGATGATCTTGGTTACTTACTGTTTTACTGATGGTAAAAAAACAACAGCTACTTGGTGACAATAATGGGACTAATGATCCCATGGAGCCTAACACTAGCAATGGTGGATGCATACTCTGTCTTCATCAAGTACCTGCCTCACCAGCCAAGGATCCTATTGGTCATCATAGCCGGAGATTGGGTAACACAAAATTTTCCTTGCTCTGTTTTTGGTTTTGCAACGGAAACTTGTCGTTGCTCTTTGTATGCATCGATAGTTCACAACCTTGGTAATATGTAGGTTTTGTCATTTCTGTCGCTGGCGGCGGCCTGCGCGACAGCAAGCGTCACAGACCTGTTGGTGGACGCAGGTGGCTCGTTCTGCCCGACCATGTCGTGCAACAGGTTTCAGCTGTCGGCGACCATGGCGTTCTTGTCTTGGTTCCTCTCTTTTGCTTCTTCTCTCTTCAACCTCTGGCTTCTTCCTTCTTTGTAGTACTCACCAAATGGCGATGGTTCATACATATATGTAACTATACCCTAACCCTTAATGAGTGAACCCTAAGTCCTAATTATCTAAATTATAATCTATAAACTCTAAGATGGTGCATTCCTTTTTGTGCCTATATTTGACGAATCATAACCGTCGATTATTGTTTCTAATTAAATTGATCTTGGAGTATAAGATTGGGAGAATTAAGACCTAGATTTTGATCTTTAAGGGTTAGAGTATAGTATCATGTCCGAAAGATCGGTCAATTCAAGGTCTAGATAGTGTTTTCATACTCAAGGTATGCGGTATCCCGAATTAGGGATGACAATGGGTCGGGTCGGGGACGGATAGTGCATATCCGTTACCTTACCCAAAGTAGTTCGAATTTTACTCATACCCATACCCACATGTGAAACGGGTAGAAAATTAAAACCATGCCCATACCCGTTCGGGTTTCGGGTATCCACGGTTATCCATGGGTAATGATTTTTCTTCATAACTATAACCAATATGTTAACATTCACACGTATTCTCACATTACGTAAGAAGAAAAGTACGACAATAATTCACTAGAATGAAGAAAATTAATTAAAACAACACAATTTCATGAAAATATTATATTTATATACTAAATATAAAATATGTTAGAGAAAAAAATGATTATTTCTAGACAGAATACATATGCATGTGTATAATCGGGCGGGTTCGGGTTGGATAGTGAGAAACCCATGCCCACCCATTACCCGCAATATTCGGGTTCGGATTTTACCCATACCCTCTAAATGTCCTTCGGGTTCGGGTTCTACCCTACCCATTAGGCCGGATTCGGACGGATATCCACGATTACAGATATTTTTGCCATCCCTATCTCGAATTTTACCCAGGGTACCATAGAACTCGCAGCTTTCATTAAGTCAATTCAAAGAAAGGGAATATATATTTATGGACAATAATATTTTTGTTATTAGATCACTCAAAATGAGGGTACAAACCGATAATTACATAGACCGCTGAGAAGCACATTTATTTGACAAAGTAACAAAGTCAAACCCATTTAACATACGAGAACAAAATAACAGATAAGAATTGGACTTGATAGTTGATACCTCTTACCTACTAGTTTGATGGTCGGCCCGTTGGCCGAATAAATAGTGTATGGCTTTAGTGTTGGCCCGTTGAAACTTAATCAATTTGGGCATTATTATAATATAACAGAAGCCACGATGATGCAATAAATGGAATTAGTGTATGGCTTTTATATCTCTTATTTTAAGTTGGATGCAAACCGTGTCATGAGTAGAGGTTCAACAAAGGTTGCCTAAATCGAGTTCAAATGTTTGTGCAATAAGAACCAGTCATAGAAACTATGGTACTTGAAATAAAGAAACTAAAATGGTCGACAACATGAACTTAGTTATTTTATGATTGCTTGTGTTGAAGTTACATGACACTTCTCACAGTAAAAAATCAAATTCTAGAAGTTGTTTGAAGGTGTCTATATCCAAAAATATTATGCATTAAATCATTTCTCCATGATATCGACTCTGATTCATACGCAAAGATTTTTTTTAAATAAACTCTACAAAAAGAGATTGACAAAGATGAATTTCTGGATATGGGTACAATTCTAAGTATATAATAAAATGTATCCAATTATTACCATAGTTAAACAATTTTCCTTGGTGTGATTAATTGGTGTGGAAAGAGACGGGTAGGTCGTACATAGTGATGGAAACCCCGTATGTGTGAATTTGCTGGGATGATATGGGAAGAAATCGGGGAGGGTGCGAATACGCCGAGAGAGAAGCTGCGTGACGGAGGGGAACGGTCGGCGGCAATAGGTTTTTGAAGAACTTTATTGACGGTCGGCGGCGACCAATTTGTGCAGGAGCCCCCGATTTCTTTCTTCCATTTTATTTATTTTAATATTCTTATTTTTAAGATTGTGATGCAGGTCCATACTCTGCACACGGATAGAAACAAAACTGCGCCTGAGGAGAAATAGAAACAAAATGGGCCATATGTCTTCATAGCATTTTAAGCCCAATGTTGGGTGACGGAAGTGGACAGTAAATTACTAATATGGAGCTCCGAAAATTGCTCGTTGACCAGCAATCCAATTAATATATGGAGTTTCTCCTCCAACACACACCCAATTCCCTTTTTTCTGTCTTCTGCGCATAATAAGGGAGGTTACTTTGGTCTTTCCCTTTTTTATTAAATTGAGGAGACGGACGGGCTTTGTCCGAGTGGCTTATCTGGCCGCTGGCAGCCCGCAGCTATTCCCTCTTAAGTCCCAAGTCCTAACTCCTAACACGTCCATCCCCTCAAATCTCCTAACATGTCCCAAGCCTTGATTTATTGAGCCACATGTTTCAATTAAACTCCATCAATTGTTCTGCATCATTGTAATTCCTTTCTCTTTTTGGTATAATTATTGATAAAATAATTAGCTTAACCGGCCAAGTAAGAAACTAGAACTAATTGATCAGGAATGATTATTTAGCCTCTTTTATGTCATGTATTCCATGCTTTAGATTAAGTTATTTGGTACACACATTTTGCTCGAAAGAGTAAAGCAAAATTTGCTGAATGTTAGGAGAAAAATCAGTCTTGACAGATCTCAGGTTCGAATCCAAGTGAGGCCCGTTGGTGTTTCTGGAGGTACAAAGCTATTGGGGCAAAGCCCCGTTGGCGTCAAATTAAATGCACGTGGGGCTGAGGTTCCTGGGTATAAAAAAACATTTATATAAAGTGGTTCTTCGTGTGAAGGTGTTTAATTCTAAATTTCCAGCCTTCTGAGTAAATTAAGGAATGACACTTCTATTTTCTAATTAAAAAATCCAAAGAGTTTGTTAATTATACTAATGAAAAAGATTTCGCTGGATATATTCCTCAAACCAATTATTATATTATTATTTGTAGTTAGGAAAGATTAGTCGAGGGTTGTGCCTATCTGTGTAGGTTTAGTTTTTTTATTTAAATTTATTTTATTATAAGGTTAAGTGTTTGAAACAAAATCTTATATGTGTGACTTTGCTAATTAATTAATTCTTAATAACTTAACTAAACAAACCAAATACTTTCATTTATAACTTTGGATTTGAGGTTTTCCATAAAATATATACAAAATAAAAAAAAATTGAATGTGTTTATGAGAATTGGTAATGACGAGGAGGTTTATGAATATAATTACTAATATCAATGATTGTTTAATTAATTATTATTTTATTCCTCAATTCTTCTTTTAGGTATTGGTTTTCTCTTAGAGTTATGAAATGTGATATCTTACATTAAATTTTTGGTGGGTTCACGGGCTAGAAGTTCAAAGTTTAAACTCAGTTGCTAGATAATTTCTTTCTTAGGTTCTTTTCCAGGAAACGATAAAAAATATGAGATCATACTACCTTATATTTAGGTTTGTAATGCACAGTTTTCTTTTACCTTAGCGGCAAACTGGCAACTTTGCTTGCTTTCCCTTTTTCATAACTTTGCTTGGTTTTAATCAAATATTAGTGAGAGAATTATTGTGATGATAATTTTTATCAAAACTTCCTCTGACACTAACATATTATTTTTTATGTTATTACTGCTTTAGTATTATTTTGAGCTTTTAAGTTAACTCATACTATTATTGAGTACTATATTTATTGATTCTACACCTTGAAATATATTCACCTTTGAGAATGATCTTTTTGACAAAACAACGTTCCAGTATGATATTCAAATAGCCAAATAAAAGGAACGAAATTTTTGGTGCACAACCTCTTTTAGTTACAGCTCACACAAATCTCAAGAGCTATAGTTGAGGGATTTTCAGTTTCTCACAAATTTAGCGACTATATCTCATTTGTTTCAACTCTGATTTTAAATGGGTAAAAAAACATATCAATTGAAACTTGCCAAAGAAAAATTGAAGAAGACTATGATGAGTAATTTTATAAGGATTATACAACCACGTCAAAGATAATAGTAGTTAGATAACAATCTACCTCTACTCTTCTATTGTTTTTAACATCAAGTTCATTTATTAGAAAGAAAACAACGTACCCGCTAAATCATCAAATTTTTTACCAAATAATATATTTCAATTGTTGTTGTTTATAGATCCAGGATTATTTGTGAATTGTAGACAACATTTGTTTAGTCTAACTTTATTGTTTTGTATAATGGGGAAGCTAGATTTCGGAATGTCTATTGAGAAACTACTCAAAGATAGTGACAAAATGAGAGAACATTCACCTCCTCATCTCATACAAACCGAGAGCATAAAGTTAAAACTTCATATCAAGCTCACCGATTACAACATCCTGAACCCCATAAGTGGGTACACAGTTCTGAAAGATAATAAAGGATGAAGAAGAAAAATCTCAGACAAAGTTAATGACATGTACTGGTAAATTTAAATTCTTAGAAATGGAGATAATGACGTCATTGAGATAAAGAAAGAAATTATTGATGGACGATATAGAAATATCCTTGATGGAAGGAAAGAATGAATGATTGATAATATTTATGATTTATATGAGGTGAAATTCTACTGAACACATGTTTCACATTTCCATATATTTTAGCATGAAAATTTGGGTTTCAATGAAATGCATGAGAAGAAGGAAGAGCTATTGATGGTGAATATAAATTTATGTTGACATACTTGGCCACGAAATGAAATGCAATGCAAACTTATTAAGGCCCAAAGGATTGCTAATTCATCCACCAAGTAGTCCAGCCCACTCCCACTCTTATTTGACATACTTGGCCACGAAATGCAATGCAAACTTATGGCTCGGATACTTGCGTTAAAAAGGAAGGCCCATTTTCAAGGTGTCCTTCGAACCTATGCTTTGCTATATCCCCCCCCCCCCCCCCCCCCCCCGGTTTTACTACTGCGATTTGGCAAAAATCCCGAACACCATCCCAGATAATCATATACAAAATGTTGACATAATAAAGAATTCTCTGAGATATTATTTTTTAACAAGTATAGAATGAGTAAGATTTGA